ATCAAGGAAGGGCATTTAAGGTAGACTTTTCACTATTGCTTGGTTTGCCAGTTGGTGGCATCCTTGTAGGTCTCTGAAAATCTCACTAGTGCCAGATCTCTCCTCAAATCTGTAATGACACCCTCTGTTATGGTATCTTCACAACCTGCTCTCCTATATTCTTCCCCCGACTCAAACTTCCTGTTCTCCCATAGCCTCCTCTCCATTTCTATTCTCCCCTCACTTTTCCCCAGCTCTCTTTAACCTACCTCCATGATCCTAATCCATTCAGGAGATCCTGTCCCATTCCCCTTCTCTGGGGTGCCATGCAAATTTCTCTTAGGGTCCCCCTGTTTCGCAGACTTTGTGGCAGTGGGATGGTAGGCTGGAACTCCCTTGCTTCATGCATAAAATCCATAAATGATTGAGTCTTTGTGTGAATGGATTACCTCACTCGGGATAGTTTCTTCTAGTGTCATTCATTTGCCTGCAAATTTCAAGATTCCATTGTTTTTTTTTCCACTAAATAGTACTCCATTGTGTACATCTAGGATGCTCCCAGGTTCTGGCTATTACAAATAATGCTACTATGAATATAGATAAACAGAAGTCCTTGTTGTATGAGTGTGCATCTTTTGTGTACATGCCTGAGAGTGGAATTGCTGGATCTTGTGGTAGACTGATTTCCATTTTACTGAGGAATCTCCGTACTGATTTCCAAAGTGGCTATATGAGTTTGCACTCCCACCAGCAGTGGAAGAGTGTTCCCATTTGTCCCCATTCTCTCTAGCATAAACTGTGGTTGGCATTTTTTATTTTAGCCAATCTGACTGGAATGAGATGGTACCTCAGTTGTATTGATTTGCATTTACCTAATGGCTAAGGATGTTGAGCACTTTCTTAAGTGTATCTCAGCCATTTTAAACTCCTCTATTGAGAATTTTCTGTTTAGTTCTGTAGTCCACTTTTAATTGGATCCTTTGGTGTTTTGGAGACTTGCTTCTTGAGTTCTTTTTAAATTTTGGAGATCAGCCCTCTGTAAGATGTGGGGTTAGTGAATATCTTTTCCCATTCTGTGGAATGCCTTTTTGTCTTGTTGACTGTGTCCTTTGCCTTACAGACGTTTCTCAGTTTCAGGAGGTCCCATTTATTAATTGTTGATCTCAGTGTCTGTGCTACTGGTGTTATGTTCAGGAAGCAGTCTTCTGTACCAATACATTCAAGGTTACCTCCCATTTTCTCTTCTAAGAAGTTTAGTGTGGCTGAATTTATTGAGGTCTTTGATTCATTTGGACTTAAATTTTGTGCAGGGTATTAGGCATGTATCTATTTGCATCCTTTTATATGCCAGAATCCAGTTGTGCCAGCACCATTTGTTTAAAATGCTTTCTTTTTTCCAGTTTACAATTTTAAATTCTTTGTCAAAAATCAAGTGTTTGTAGGTGTGTAGGCTAATATCAGGGTTTTCCATTCCATTCTATTGGTCTACCTGTCCATTTTTGTGCCAATACCAAGCTGTTTTCAGGACTATAGCTCTATAATAAAGCTTGAAATCAGGAATGCTGATGCCTCCAGAAGTTCTTTTATTGTACAAGGTTGTCTTGGCTATCCTAGGTCTTTTGTTGTTCTGTATAAAGTTGATTCTTGTTCTTTCAAGGTCTGTGAAGAATTGTGCCAGAATTTTGATGGGGATTGCATTGAATCTGTAGATTGCTTTTGGCAAGTTTGCCATTTTTACTATGTTTATCCTACTTATCCAAGAGCATAGGAGATCTTTCTATTTTTCTGATATCTTCTATAATTTATTTCTTTAAAGACTCAATGTTTTTGCTATGCAAGTCTTTCACTTATATGGTTAGTATTTCCCCAAGACTTTATGCTGTTATTTTCTTATGTAGGACAAACCTTTCAAAAATATAGAAAACAAATAGACTTGCTATTTTTCACTTTAATAGTTTCTTTTTACTCTTCACTTTTAAAATTGCTATGGGTGGCTAGTGGCCCAGCAGGAAGGATAGGAGAGGCTACCAAAGGAGGAGAATTCTGGGAAGTGTAATCAAAAGGATTTGCCATATAAGCCTAGGAAGAGAGGACACATCAGATGTTCTCTGGTAAGCCAAGACCATGTGGAAATACATAGATTTAATAGTAATGTGTTACTAATTAAGACAGAGCTAGCCTCTAAGAATTCCAAGCCACTGGCCAACAGTTTTATGATTAAAAAAATAAAATTGCTGTGGTTGTATCTTGTATTATTTTAAATAATTTTCAAATTCAAATATATTTTCATCATATTTCCCATGACGAAGTCCTTTCAGATGCAACCGATTTTATTCCAAACTGTCATAATTCATGATAAATATTTTAACTCCAAACTTTCTAAGAAGTATATACAAAGAAGACCATTACACATTTATCTAAAATTGCCCTATGGATTCTCAAGCAAGTTTAATGGTCTCCTCAAATGCATATAAACGATCCAATAACTTGTTCAGCTTTCTTGGTGTCTTTGCAGAGTAAACCCCTAAAACACCTGATATCAAGCCATTTGTTAGGTAGTATTCCATCAATAAATAAATAGTTTAAGACATTTCCTACATTCAAGATGAATCATTATATTAAGATAAGATAAACTTTTATAGGTGCTTTTGAGCATTATACACAGATTTTGTGTGTGTTTTATATCAACCAATAATAAGTGAGTGAACTTTAAACTCCATATTACAGCCAAATAAGCTGCTACACAAATTTGCTATATTTGGTTGTTTCTATGCAATTGAAAGAAGGTTGTTAAAGAAAATGGGTCCGTGAATTTCAGGGGATCTGACATAGGAAAAATGGAAGAAAAAAAATAAGTGTGCATGGATATAATTGTTCTTATTGAATAAATAAGATAGAAAGAAATTAAGCAAATTAAGCTACCAAATTGCATAATTTATAAACAGAAAATCTGTGATTTGAACCCAGGTGACTCTCCCCAGGACAAACAGGTTGACAACTAGGCCAGTTGTCTTTACAGTAAGTTTGACTAAATCAAACTTAAACAATGGCTTGTTGTTATTGGGGAGGCAGCCACCAGTGCTGCACTGTGAAAAATTGTGAACATGAATAACACATGCTTGTAGCCTTGATGCAGTTTTCAATTTCAGTTTCATTCATAAAGCAATCAACATTTAAAATGCATTGAACATTTTGCATATGCTAGTTTCTGTTTATATGAAACTCCATTTTCTCTATACATATTTCATTGCTTTCCAGTACTGATTTGGCTCTTTTGCTTATTTTAGCAACTAGTATTCTACTTCCTTGTTCTTTATCCTAGCAGGGGCACTCAATCATAGAATTTTATTGAAAACAATTATTGTTAAAGAATTTGGTGACATTATTTCTTTCCTAGAGTATATAAAACATTCTATGACACTAGTGTGTACAAATGGTTTAACTTCAGCTATTTTATGGGACTTTGTATATATATTTAAAAACTGATCCAATAACAAATCTTCTCTGACTTTATAGAATTATAATAAATATTTGCATCATTACAACAAAATTTTCTTTCATCATTAATCTAAATATTTATTAATTCAAAATTAAAGTTCTCAATGCCAATAAAATACAAAATAAAAAAGTACAAATTATGGTAAACTTGAATTCAAGTTTTCTATAATATCAAAAAACTTTTATTATCACAATAGCATTGCATAACATTCACAAATCTCTATCGAGCACCTGTAAAATAGTTTATCATTTATGGTCTCTGAACTATCAATTAAGTGTAGCTATTAATGTTAAAGACTTTAACTCTTGACACAGGAGACTTACACAGTAAGTATCCTCTGGAGATATGGGAGCACTCAGATTGCACCTTTTGTTTCATCTCCCAATGAAACTTGAGGAACACCACAGGGAAAGCAGGGACAGCCAAGGCCTCTGGTGGTCTTGGCTTATAGCAAGAACAGTGTTGTATCTGTCTTATTTCTTTGGCCAAATCCAGTTAAATCAGGAAGTCCACTCAAAAAGGTCACAAGCTCAAAACAAGTTACCCAACAAAATGTTTGGTAAAAAGAAGACTAAAAACTCATGAGTAGACCAAATTTGCTATGTTCCCACATTTATACGACCTCATTTTTCTCATCTTGTTTTCTCTGTGATATCCTGCAGAGGGAGCAAATTTCAAGTAGCTCCCCGTATTTCAGCTTAGGACACACTTCACCCAACTGTCAATGTGAAGATTTTATGAAGATACTAAATATGTGAAGAGAAATTTCAGGCTATATATCCAATATTCAATACAAGGGCTACACTCACAATCATCTTCAGACTTTTCAATGTCAACAATTTCAGTAGCAGAGCTTCAGGAAAACTGGGCTATTTTTTTAAACATGTGAAGTTTGCTGTGTTTTCTCTATTATTGTTACAAAATAATATTACTCTTTCATTTTGTATTAATATAATGAGTATCTGTTACAGATAAAAAGGCCATATGGAAGATAAACTAAACATGAAATTAGATAATTATAACATTTAACCAAAGCATGAGCATTGATGAATGATATTTGAGTTATCTCTCCTAAAGTGTATTCACTCATATCGAGTGCTACTGTATAGGACTACAAGACATACATCAAATAGTAACTCTAACTAAAAGTTCGTAACATTGGAGAAATGAAGAATTTGACACAGTCTTGTGGGCATAACAGTACTTTCACTATTTATGAATCAAAATAAATTATGTATTTTAATTTACAAGTAGGATTAATTTGTGCAATATAGCTCTAAGAAATATCAACAGAGGGGCTGGAGAGATGAGTCAGTGATCAACAACACTAGCTGCTCTTCCTGAGGTCCCAGGTTCCATTCCCATCCACATGGCATGTTGTAACATCTGTAACTCCTGTTCCAGGGTATCTGGTGCTTTCTTCTGGTTTTCAAAGGCACCAGACATACACATGATATACAGACTCACATCCAAGCAAAATACCCAAAAAACATTGAAAAGAAACATCAAGAGAAAAGAAAATTTGTGTTTCTTATGAGACTTTAATGTCAAATATGCAAAGTTAGCCTAATGTAGAATCTTTGTGTATACACACTTTTAAGGTTGTCCTAGTTTGGTTTCTAATGTTATGACAAAATGCTATAATAAAAAACAACCTGGGGAAGGAAATGGTTCCTTTCATTTGAACTCAAAGCAGGAAGTTTGAGGCATGATCTTAAGCAGAGACTATAGAGTCTTGATCCTCATAACATGCTGAGCTGCTTTCCTATACAATCCACGACTTTGTGTTCTGTGCTGGTAGTAACTATAGTGAGCTGGGTCTCCCACATCAATCATTAATCAAGGAAATATCTGACAGACTTACCTATAGGTTGATCTTATGGGTTGATCTTATAGTTGCATGGATGGTTGGGGTAGAGAGATGGTGGGGGATGTGGGAGGAAAAGAGGGAGGGGGAAATGGGATTGGTATGTGAAATACCATTGTTTTAAATAACAAACAAATATAAAACAGAAAAAATGAGTTCTGCTTGCCAAATAGCTGTGGCTTCAAGTTGGTGTAAAACTAACCAATCGGCAGTTTATTTCAAAATAATCATTGGCATACTTTTTGCAGTCTGTGGTGCTTGGTTGTGGATCTCTGCATGTGGTTCCGTCAGTTATTGGATGAAGGCTCTATGATGATAGTTGGGTTATTCACCAGTCTGATTACAGCAGGACAGTCCAGACTCCCTCCCCACTATTGCTAGAAGCACTGAGAATCCTGCTGAAGAGAGGGAGGCAGAAATATGTGAGCCAGGGAGGTAAAGATCATGAAGAGGACAAAGCTAAATCTAGGCCTACAGCCATGGTGCCTCCACAAGACTGAAATGTAGGAGACATTTGTGTAGCTGGATCTATTTGAGGGGCCCCTGATGAAAGGACAAATATTTATCCCTGGAGCATGAGATAACTTGTTGGAGCCCATTCCCTATGGTGGGATGCCATGCTCAGCCTTAACGCAAGGGTGAGGGTCTTGGCCCTGCCTCAATTTAATGGGCCCAGTTTTGTCAGATCTTCACAGGAGCCCTTACACTGTGGGAGAAGCAGATGGGGAGACCTAGGGAGGAAGACAAGGGGTGGCAGAAGGAGGGGTAGGAGGAAGAGCTGTGGTTGGAATGCAAAATGAAATTTAAAAAATAAAAAGAAAATATAATGGCTCACAACTTAAATTGCTTTCAAATATTACTAGAAGTGAGATTTTTATAAATAACTAGATCAGTTTCTATTTCCAAAGTATATATATCCTTTCTTTTTGATGAAGATACTTAAAAAACCTACATATAAAACATCATTTTAAAGACACGACACTGAAACAAAAATTTTAATAAAAGGTAAAAGCTGGCTGAAAGAGACTAGAAATTTAGTAAAATTTGATACAAAATGCATTTTGGAGCCTTTGGAGAATGATAGATGTGGGTTTTGTTTGTTTGTGTTTTGTTTTTAGGTTGTTTTTTCTTGACAGATAATATTAAAATGGGTTAGAAAGACTAAGAGAGGAAACATTAATAGATAAACCTGAGGTGAAAATTCGTCAAGTTTTATATTCCCTTTTATGAATAAGTGGATCATCTCCTCACCTGTTAAGAGTGATAGGCTCACAAGTCAGTTGTCCTTCTTCTTGGCAGAATCATTCATCTGGAAAGATGCTCCTGCCAAACACCAGACCACCTTTCAGTGTGGCTCATTTCTATTTTTTTCCTATCATGTAGATGAAGCATCATTCCAGTCTTACTCCTTCCTTGAACTAAATGACTCATCGTCTTCATATATCCAATCCTATATGTAACATGAATAAATAAATGACCCAGAGACTGATATTGGGGTTCAAATTTCAAGCTGAATATCAGGAAAAACAAGACAGATGGCCACTAGGTCTTACTACTACCTCAGGTTGAAAGGGTGATCCATGCACAAGCTCCTCACCAAGTCTCAAACTGCTGCCTCTCTTCAGTGTAGCTAGAGAATGAATGCCTCTCTGAGATCTTGCTTCTGTTTTATATACTTCCCTACTATTGGGATTGAAGGTGTGACCTATAACTTTTTTAAACTGATTCACTCTTTTGTAGATCTGGGTGACCTTGGACTCACAGAGATCTGTCTATCTCTTAATACTGAGTTCAAGAATTAAAGGTGTCAATAACCTCCTCCTAGCTTCTGGCGGCTGGAATTAAATGTGTGTGCCTGGATTCTATGGCCTGTGGCTGTCTTTGCTTTCTGAATACTCAAAAAGCTTTAATAAATCATAAAAAATAAATCACTACACAGTTTTTCCTATAATCCCAACTGTTCATGGGTCTCCATTGCTAAATCATCTCAAGGGCATCACAAACTGGGTGTTCATTCATTAATCAACATTGTGCAGTTGGCTTCACAGGACCCCAGATGGTGAACCTATTCTTTGTCTCTTATTATCAAATTATAAAACTATGCTGTTTGAATTTCCAGGGTGGACATAACTACAGTGTTCTGCCATTGTGTCCTCCCACTTCATTCTTATGAGATATTTCTACTGCACAGTATGTGGTATGGACAACTACAGGGTATACAAGGGCTGGGAAAAAAGCTGACACAAAGATTGAGAAAAAAAACATATTTTAAAATGTATTCTTCTGTTTTATTTGCTGACTTGTGATGGAGCCCCCAGACCTTGCAACTAAGGTTAATAATCTGTCATAGAGTTAAATTTGTATCCCTAAGTCATTTTTAGACAACTGTTTGTAGTTACATCTTAGAACTTTTGTGTTGTTTCATCAACTCTCAATCCAACTGTCTTTGCTTCAGAGAAAAAGAAAAGTAACATGTTTCTTCCTCTTCTTGCTGTGGCCTTCCTCACCATAGTTACAGTCCTCATTGATGGGTAAGCTGCACACTGATTTTCCATCTGGGTAGAAATAAATCACATTACACTTTACTGTGTAAATGGTTTCCAGATGTGTATTAGGTGTTTTCCTTTTTTCCCAGTAGCCTCTACCATTTTCTCTCCAAGTTCATGCATTCTTTTTATTTTTTGCTTTGAGCTCTCTGAGTTCACTTACTGCCACATGTGTTTGCATCACTGCCGGAGCCCTTTCGCATCTCAGGGGCCTCATCACTGAAGAAAACTAACTTTCTCTCCCCCAGTAGCCGGTAACTGCCAATAGCCCCACAACTGACAGTGTATCTTCACAGGCTCCTCCCCATCAATGCTGTCATTTTGGCTAGGCGGATCCTATGCAAGTCTTGTATATGTCATCACAGCAACTCTGAACTCTGTTACATACCAAATTCTGCACTTTCTAGCAGAATACTCCTTTGTCAGTAATGGTGACATAAGTCTGTAAGAAATGTGGGAAGAAAAGAAAGACATCTTGTATTAGTTACTTTTCTATTGCTGTGATAAGCCTACTGATCAAGTTGTGATAAGACAAATAAGACCAAGGAAACATAGACATATGGTTTCATGGTGTTAGAGTCCATGATGGCAGAGAGAAAGAAGGCATGACCAAGGGATTAACTGAGAGCTCACATTGCAAAATTACAATCAGGTAGCATTTAAGACATTGTTAATGGCAAGTGTATTTTGAAACATCAAAGTGAACTCTGAATGACTCCTCCTCTAGCCTTCTAATCTGTCTCAAAATGTTCCACCAACTGGGTATGAAGTGTTCAATCATATGGGCCTATGGAACAATTCTAATCCAAACTACTACTGATTAGTTTGTTGGAAGGTTTATTTCCTTTGCCTGACATATACTATGGCATATGCCATTTTTATTTAACATCTCAATGAGAACATTAGATTTTAACATGCAGAATTAAACTTCAGCAGTTTGTCATCTATTGATGTTCACCTCAAAATAAAAACACCATGTTTGCAGAAACTAGTTTAAAAATAGTAGATGAAATGTCATTTTTATAAAATATAACAGAGACTATTTGACCATTAGTAAGCACTGGGGCTTATAATTAATATGCTGGAGCGACAAAGGTCATTTTTGTGAGAAAACAACTAAGCCAACATATCTTATCCTCCACACAGCAAGGTACACAGCTTTTAATGAGCTAAAAATTCAATGCTATTTGTTTCAAATTTTGTTTTTGCTCAGTGGCTTTTAACAGAATGTAATGTCTCATTTTTAGATAAGTACAAATTTTCAAGTGAAGCTAAAAGGTCACAATTCCTACCATTTAAGACATTTGAAGGAAAATGTGCCAATTAAAATAAGATGGCTCTGACTTTTAGTCAGAATCAGTCTGTGTCCCATCCAGGAAATTGCAGGGACCATAATTAATGAAGAAGTGTCTATTTACAGTGAAAGATACAGTTGAAGTCCAAAAGCAAGGATGGGCTACACAAAAATGTTCTTCCCTGTAAGTCATTTGAGACAGACATATTAGTTCTGAGTTTATGCAAGAACCTTGGCGAGCCACCCTCTGACATAGTTATCAACCCATCCCATGGTACACTTGATAGAGTTCAATGTGGTTCTCTCACAGTACTTTCATATTGTTCTCCTTGGTTTTTATATGGAAGAAAGCAAGTATCACTAATATTTTGCCTTACATAGTTTGAAATTCACTGCATTTCTAATTTTTCTCTTACTAAAGAGACTCATTTTTTGAAGAAACTTACCAAGCTAAAATAGTTGTGAAGTACGTAATATGATGTGATATTTTTATATATGTCTCAAAAGTAACAATCATATAGGGTACTAAATTATCTCAATAAATATATATTATTGTGAGACTTAAAATTACCACAAACTTTGCAAACTGGTATAGATTTTTTTGAAAAGGAAATGTGAAAATAGAATTCTAAATTAAAAACAATAAGACTATAAAGAATAATGTTTTAATTTTTGGCAGTTAACTAATAAAAACATAGACATATTTCCTTGAATATATTATTATACATAAGCAGACACATTTATGAGGATTTTATTTTTATGATATTTACTCATGGGCACAGTAATGTTGTGGTTTGTTTTACTAATGGGTACAAATTAAAATTTATTCTAGCTGTATTTATGTTCCTAACTTTAACCTGTGAAGTCTACTGTATGATATATTTAGAAAAAAAACCTTCTCATTAAGAAAGGCATTATTATTTTTTTACTGAGTACTCTAAGGTACACTAAATAATCTTATTTTAAATTATTTATACTTACCTATTTTTCCTTCATCTCAGAATATTTACCACCTAAACATAAATTGCTTTGCTAAATGTATGTCTTTGACTAGACATTGGCTACATTTTATTAGCTTTTCAACACACATTAATTGGCAACGGCATGATCTTGTGTTCTTGATGGAAGAGCAGGTGGTGTGATATCTCTAGATATCATTTGAGTCAGCCTTTCAAGGACCAGATAATTCTGGAAAGGTTTATGCTCTGTCTCCCAGATCCCTGGATCAGGGAAGGCCTACTAGTAGAAAGATGGAGGCAAAAACAAGCCACCTAGGGGGCAATGCAGTTTGTTAGGTCTGTGTAGTAGTTACAGCCTGAGTAATTGCAGGGTGCTTGCTATGGGAGCAATTCAATTTTCTCTCTCTAGAGCCCTGCAACAAGCAATAGATCAGACTAGACACCAATGAAAGAACTCATGTTCTACAGTCTTACATCTGGCAAGGGAAGCAAAAATGACCAAAGTGAGGAATCAATCTTTTTTATGGGCTCCATTGGAAAACCAAAGTAACATCAAACAGTACAAGACTAAGTGACCTACCTTGGGAGGAACGCAAGTGTATCAATTCTCTGAGCATGTAAACAGCTCAATGGGCCCTTAGTTGAATGATACAAGACTAGTAAGGAGACTATTGGGAGCAAGGTGTCTCTTCCAAAAGTGCACTGTTATAGGCCATTATCATCTAGATTGGACTGAGTAAACAAGGCTTTGCACTCCATTCTCTCCATGAAAGATTTCTAAAGAGTGGATACTGAGTTACTGATGCTTCAATTTTGTTGTTGTTTTTGTCTCTAACATGCCAGTATTTTTTAAAATTAAAGATATTCTTTACTTCCAAGGCATTCAATTTTGTAAAGGAATTTAGTGTATCCAGTTTTAAGCCTTTAATGAAGCTTCACCCAAGTTGTGCATTCAGAATTGGAATTTTTTTAGAGAATTTCTGTGAGGCAAGTGTTCAGTGTTAAGCATTAAGATACCCAATCAAAAAATCAAAGGAGCAAAATATAGATAAGATGGAAAATGATTTAATCTTAAATTGGTCCCAATGATTGCATTTTTCTATTTTGTAATATACTTTATGAAAGACTCAGCTCTCTGAATATAATTACATTGTGATGATTGCAAAATGAAAATATGGCAGGGAAGGGGAAAGACCTAGAAAATCTCAGAGAAATGACTTTTTATCTCTCGTCTACTCAAAGCCATGATTGAGGCCAAGTGAAAGGTTAAATGAATACTCCATTGAGACCATTAGTGAGCATTAGGCAGAATTTGATGAAACAAAGGGCATTGCCACCTGAATTAAAGGAAGGAACCCCAGGGACCCCAAATGCCAAGAACAGCACACACACATTTCTGACAGCACATAGCATCCATAAATGTTCTTACTTTTGTGCTCATATGAATCAGTTTGATTTTTACCCAAAAAAGAATTACACAAAGACTAGGCTTGTGAATGGGAAATATGGAGGGTAGAAATTCCCCAAAGCAATAAAAGGTCTTCTGTACAATTAACTTGATATTCAGCTATAGCAAGTACTGCTGTTACCATTGTTCTGCTCACAACACTTAGAGTCTCCAATAAATAAGAAAATGTGGAAAATTCAAGGGCAGATGAATCATGGAAGTAACGTGGCTTCATTCTATACATGTGACATTTCTAGGTCCTTGGTTACAAAAGTGTTCATCAAATGATTTTTATTATGTATGATCTATTGTTACTTTATAAGAGCTTGGAGCATCCTGGCTTTTAAGAATTATTATTCCCTAGATATTTTTATTATTGAATATTCAGTGAAAGAAAGCTGACACAGAAAACCAACATCC